CGACCTGCTGGGCTCTGGTGATCCTTTCGCCTCAGCCTTCCAAGTAGCTGGAACTACAGGCACGCGCTACCACACCCAGCTAATTATTTTTTATTTATTGTAGAGATGAGGTCTCACCAAGTTGCCCAGGCAGGTCTCGAACCCACGGGCTCAGGCAATCCACTCACCTCAGCCTCCCAAGGTGCGGGATTACAGGCTGAGCCACCAAGCCTGGCTCTACAATTAAGTATTGAATACTGTGCTAGAGTTATGGAAAATTCAAATTAATCAGCTATAAAAATTTTCCACAAACCTTAGAAAGCTTTTAGGTCACTAGAGATGAATAAAATTTCCCCATTCAACAGAACAGGAAACTGTGGCATAAATGGGAAAATATCTTGGCTAATATCACTTGATAAGTAACTAGAGATACCACCACCAGTCAAAGCTGTATACTGAAATGCTGTTTAAAATGTTAATCAGTTAAGAAGGAGTTCTTTTTTATTTTGAGTTGGAGTCTCACTGTTGCCCAGGTGGTACCCCTCACAGCCAACACAACCTCGACCTGCTAGGCTCAGGGGATCCTTCCACCTCAGCCTTCCAAGTAGATGGAACCACAGTCACGTGCCACCATGCCCAGCTGATTTGGGTTTTTGTTTTGTTTTTTGCTTTTTTTTGTAGAGACGAAGTTTCGCCAAGTTGCCTAGGCTGGTCTCAAACTCCTGAGCTCAGGCAATCCTCTCCTCTCAGCCTCCCAAAGTGCTAGGATTAAAGGTGTGAGCCATGGCACCGGCTAGAAGGAGTTCCTTTAAGTGATTAATAGCTGAGATCACAAAAACAACAGATATCAGAGGAAAAGAGAATAAGGCCTATAAACAGGACCACCTCAAGTTTGCTTTATTTAAGTCTCCTGGCTCAAAACTACCCAAACACAGCTATAGACTGGATATCCAAATCTCATAATATTGCTTTCAGAGATAAAGATGAGTCACTCTGGGAAGCAGGCATTCTCACAATAAGACAATTTGCATAGGGTACTGGCCCCAGGAGAATTTACCTAAAGATTTTTAGTACAGTAGATAGACCTCCCTAGATAACTCTCACCTTAACTTTCTAGCTCATCTACAGATTTTTCTAGTCAATTATAACATTTCAAAGGTTTCTACCCATGAAGGCATCTCATGAAATCTACAGGTATACACTCTTTATGAAGAATGCTGAACAATGCCTATAAAATCAGGATTTACTGAACTGAATGGTTACCCTCATCTACCAACGCTCATCCCCAATCAGTCTCTCCCATCACTGACCTAGAGAATGTAGGGTACTGGTTCTTTAGGTCCTGCCTGATGACAGATAACTGTGCCATTTTTGCTCAGGTTCCCATTTGTAGTTATGAGGCTTCCATCAATCAGCAAGCACAGCATAAAAAGACAGAACTCTTATTTATCTTCTCAAATGGCTCATTGTGTGTTATATCCCAGGGACATCCCAAGGTATCTTGAAGTATGTAAATGATTAGCAAAGTTTTCCTATAGGGCCTCAAGAGAGACTTTGGAGACCAAATGGAACAGAATGATTTGTCCAGGAGATCAATACCACTGATGTGGCAGTTGTCCATGTTCTCCTAAAAGTAGAAAAATTTAGTTGTAGGTCTCTACCAAATACTATAATCCCACCCTAAACAACCTAACTCACACAACCTGCAACCCTCTTCACATCATCACTTTCACCAATCTTACACTTAGTTGCTTCCCAGGTTAGCCAGGAAGCTTTTTACCCAAGTAAAAACACAACAATGATGAATACAACCTCAAAGGAAAGTTAAGTGCAACGTATACTAGAAAACAAGATCAAAATTAAGATGGGTTATTATGCTTTTAGGGACAGCTTACCCACCTTGACGTGTAGTGGTTGTTTGGAGATTTCATCTTCCTATCTGGGCCCAAGAAAGTGTCTTGGTAGAACCTCCTCACCTAGGGTTGTTGCCCAGTGGTAGTGAGCCTTTCCCCTTGAGGATCCTCATGCCCCATCTCCACCGAGGGATCATCAAAGGGAATGGGTCACTAACACTGTAAAGCAACAAGCCTATTCTTCTGAGGAAGATCTGAAAAAAAGACAAAAGAAAAATAAATTATTGAAATGGCGCACAATGGGAAAAACTGTCTCAATGGGCAACTAGTGGTTGAGTTCAACCAGGTCTACTCTTTTCTTTGTATGGATTGGTGGGGTGGACATTTACAGCTGTACAGAGCTTTATGTTCCGGCTACCAGTCTAGCAACATGAGAATTAATTATTCTGTTCATCCCAGCTCCATTTTGTATACTTCCCCTCGTCTCCAAGAACAATTTAGAATTGAATAATCACAAAAATTCTCATACTGTGCTTTTTTGCCAGTCTTTATTAATGAATAATCCTCCAGAATGTGGATTATTAATCCCCTTATTTTCTTATCAGGAAACATAGTAGGAGTCAAGAAATTAAGAGGTAGAAACTGATGGAAGGAGAAGCTAAAGTTTTCTCAACCAAGAGAGCCACGAAGTCACTTAGAAAAGCTCCAGTGTGAGGCCTGGCCTGGTGGCTCAGCCTGTAATCCCAGCACTTTGGGAGGCTGAGGAGCGTGAATTGCCTGAGTCTGCAGGATCAACACCAGCCTGGACAACCTGGCGAGACCTCGTCTCTACAATAAATCAAGAAAAAACTAGCCGGGCATGGTAGTGCATGCCTGTAGTTCTGGCTACTTGGAAGGCTGAGGCAGAAGGATTGCCCAAGCCCAGCAGGTCGATGCTGGGGTGGCTGTGAGTGTGCCACTGCACTCCAGCCTGGGCGATGGAATAAGACTCCAACTCAAAAAAACAAACAACAAAAAAAAACTCCAGTATGGTCTGACTTGTTGAGTTCTGTAAGAATTCTTTTTCACATTGCTTCTGGCTTCTTCTATAAAGCACTATTACAAGCAACCCACTTCAAAGTGCCTATCTGTCACCTAGTTTTGCAGTATTCCCTTCTTTTAACTTGTACTTTAAGTATACCATGCCATAATACTGCCAAGGTAAATAGAATTGTTTTCTACTCAATTCACATGGTAACATTTTTTAACAACTTGTATAATGGACACCACCATAGTTATTCAGGGATTCAGAGAAACCAAGAATGGTCACAGGCATATAGAACCTAGTAATGACCACAGCTAAGCAAATCTATCCAAGAGGGATAACAAAGTACAGAAGGCTAAAGATCCAGTACATTAGCTTATACAAGACCTCTGAGCTATCTTATTCTATATTTTAGCAATTTCATTGTTTTCCAAATTGAGAAAAAACTTTAACTTCCTCAAACAAGAGAATGTCTACCTTTTAACAATTCATTGTTTTTCAAATTAACACCCCCTCAATTTCTTAAAACAAGGGAATGGCAGTGACAGTGGAATTAGGTCTACCAAATCAGAGCTGACACATCAGCTGGTCTTAATTCACAAACAAATCCTGAAAACTTAATACCAATCTGCCAAAAGAAAGTAGGAATAATTTCTTTTTTTTTTTAGTTGGAATCTCACTCCGTCGCCCAGACTGGAGTGCAGTGGCACGCTCACAGTCACTGCAGCCTCAACCTGCTGGGCTCCGACAATCCTTTTGTCTCCAAGTAGCTGGAACTACAGGCATGCGCTACCACGCCCGGCTAATTTTTTGATTTATTGTAGAGATGAGGTCTAGCCGAGTTGTCGAGATTGTTCTTGATCCCATGGGCTCAGGCAATCCTCTCACCTCGTCCTTCCAAAGTGCTGGGATTACAGGCTTGAGGCACCGTGTCTGGCAGTAGGAATAACTTAAAGGCTCACTAATCAGAAGGCATAAATTCAGTCTCTCTTGCTAACTAGCTATGTGATAAGAAAGGAGGTAATGTATAGCTTTGCAATTCTCATTCTTCACTTATGAAATAGGGTCAAGTATGCTTTTCTTTATGTACCTCCCTGGAGCCTATCTCTGAGGGATAAGTGAAATAGTCTAACTCACTGTAGAAAGTTAAAATGTCTATGTATATGCAAAAAAGAATTGTGTAGGAATTAATAAAAAATTGGTTCATGTTCTGCTTTAAAAAGGAGAGTTGCAAGAAGTTAAAATCCTTAAAGCCAAAGACAGAAGTCCTACAACAATAAGCACCCCAAACGATCTTTCTCCAGGTAGCCTGAAAGCTTACATTAACTGGAGCTTGTCCAGATTCTCAAAAGGAAAGATCTGCTGAATTTGGAGCTTCTTGAAGCTGCTTGTAGTCCTCAGGTCTCACATGCTTAGAATGTCCTTGAGAAGAAAGATATAGTTCAGTAGGCTCCCAAAGCACCAGAAGGATACCAAAACTGTTACAAAAACCCCAACAAAAAAAACTTGGAAGCATAACCTAAAGCATTAGACATAGATAGATGCTCCCTGTCTCTACTTTCTAGCTTGTTTGGTCTCCCTAAGGTCCTGTAATGACAAGCATTGACAATAACACAGGATTAGGCAAGTGAAGAAAAAGAACTACATAAAAATACAGGTCAAACCAATATCCACCTTAAGAGCTGTGGTTAACAGTCATCCTGCTGCTGAAAATACTTTTTTTATGGTCTTTTGAGTCGGTGCAACTGTCATGACCATTTTTAATAATTGGCCTTCTGCTTTTACTATAGTATAAGAGCTCAGTAAAACAGATCTAAGCCAAGTTTGTATTCTTGAAAGCACTTTGTATGGTATCATGGTGAAAGCTCCAGGAATGGTAAATCTAGTGCCCTTAAATGAACACGGGCTTCCACATCCCTGATCAGGGATTACTATAAGGACCTTTATGTCAATTTCAAACAAATTTTAAAAAACACATGGAAGATCACTTACTCAATTCTGTTCTTTAGATTACATGTCTAGTAAGGCCAAACTGTTCTAGGATGTTCTCAATATGAGCAAAACAAACTTCAAAATTTCTTGGCAAGAAACTTCCCCTTCCTTATTTAGCCTAAGATTAGAAACTTCACCCCTACATACAGGCTTCCAGTTAAACACAGCAGTTCATACAGACGTATATGTATTTTCTCTGCTCCTTTCTGAAACAAAAGTAAGTAACACTCCATGTGCAAGCAAATTTAAATTTTTAATGAGTCCTAGCTCAAATTCATTTACACAGTCTCTAGTTATGGTATCTAAAGGGAAACAAGTCTTCCAGTCTCCCCAAATCTTTTGAACCATATTTATGGAATATGGATGCTTTGTCATCAAAGCCCTGTGGCTTTGCCCATTACTATGGTAACGGCATACTTAAAGAGCACTGTCTTTCCCTTAAAGGGAATCTAAGGCCAGAGAAAGTAGTCACATTCTAAAACTGGTACAGAACTATACATTTCTCAAGGGTTCAATATTCACTGACAATAATTTTGAGAACTTATTACCTTGCAGTCCAATAAGATATCAAAGTATTTTGGATATAATAACTAAATGGCACAACTAGCCAGCTGGTTCAAATACTCCAGCAGCAGACAGGTCAAAAAATCATCACAGCTAGAAGGGATAGTTATCAGGTAATCCAACACTTTCATTCTCTAATGAAACTAGAAACCTAGAAGATGAAACTACCTCGATGTTACACAACTAGTAGGTGTCCAAGCAACAGTTAACTCTGGGGTCTGTGTATGCAATCTGTGGTATGGGAACTTTCCACAAAACTTTTTACCATATCTTCATTTCACTATAAATATAGTCTAGATCAGTTACATGACTGTCTCATAACAGAAATGCATTGACAGGTTAGTGGCCAATGACCTAGTTTTGTTATCTGGAGCTTTTTAGTTAAGTGCATCAACAAAGCATGTGACAACATAAATATGCCATGCTCCAAAGAAGCTATAATAATATAATAGTACCATGTTCACATTTTAGTAGCTATTTATTTACTACTAATTTGTATACCTGCTTGTTTTACACTTGTACTATAGATCTAGGCAAAAATATTTTATTGCTTTTTCATGCACTTTAGCTTAACAATTATTCCCATAAATGTAAAGGGCTTATAAGAATGTTTTTCTAGCTGGGCACAATGGCTCATGCCTATAATTCCAGCACTTTGGGAGGCCAAGGTGAGAGGATTGCCTGAACCCATGGGTTTGAGACCAGCCTGGGCAACTTGACAAGACCTCATCTCTACAATAAATCAAAAATTAGCTAGGCATGGTGGCGAATGCCTATAGTTACAGCTACTTGAAAGGCCAAGGCGGAAAGATCGCCTGAGCCCCGCAGGTCAAGGCTGCAGTGACCGTGAGCATGCCACTCCAGCCTGGGCAACAGAGTTAGACTCCAACTCAAAAAAAGAATGTTTTTCTTTCAAAGAATAAGTTTAGTAAAATATATCAAAATATTAACTGTAAATTCTAAGTGATGGGTTACATAAGTGCACAATGAACAATTCCTTCAACTTTTCTGAAAATGATCATAATCAAATGTTGGAGAGAAAAAGGGGAAAAGTTGAAAAAATAGCTCCCCTCTGTCAGACTTACTATACAGACTTCAAAAACACTGTCTTAGACTAATATCTAACATGAAGTATTATAATTATGCTCATTCCAATTCATGTTATTTTAAATTACTAATTCATATGCGATACACATGGCAATCCTATTAACAAGAACAGTTTTTTGTATCAGCACACCAACTTTCTTGAATAAGATAAAAAGGCAGAAAGTGTATTTGGATTACAATCATGAAGGAAGGCATCTACTCCTTGGATCTTAAATAGGTACTTCTGTTTTTGTTCTCTGTACAGACGGGGTCTTGCTATGTTGCCCAGGCTCGTCTTGAACTCCTAGTCTCAAGCAATCCTCCCACTTCGGCCTCCCAAAATACTGGAATTATTGTGCTAGTTGTCACAAACTCAGTCTAAATAAGTACTTTGGAAGGCTAGCTGAAAGTCGCTAAATGGACTTCCCCTATCCCATATGTGAACATGTCTTTCCCCTCCCTTCCCACCTCCAATGTTTTCAGGGTCCTTTAGCACTTTACCTAAAAAACACTTCTTACCTGGTTGTATCCAAGCAATTTAATTTGAAACTCAAGGGCAAAATATAGACTGGGATAGATTCTGGTTCTTAAGATAAAGTTTGTTTCTGTGACATATGTTAAGAATCAAAACTGGCAGAAACATTTAGGACAGAAGGATCATTTCTAGTTTCAGGAACTTTTAATTACCCCACAGCTAAACTCTCTCTTAAAAAATCTCTCAAGCCAAGCTCAGTGGCTCAGCCTGTAATCCCACGCTTTGGGAGGCTGAGGTGAGTGGATTGCCTGAGCCCGCGGGTTAGAGACCTGCCTGGGCAACTTGGCGAGACCTCATCTCTACAATAAAAATCAAAAAATCAGCCAGGCGTGGTAGCGTGCACCTGTAGTTCCAGCTACTTGGAAGGCTGAGGCGGAAGAATCGCCAGAGCCTCTGCGATCTTCCTCCCAAATCCAGTCTAGTCATAAAAAGAACAACAGACACATTCCCAATAGAGGGACTTTCTACAGAATACCTGACCATTGGTCCTCAAAACTGTGAAGGGCATCAAAAAGAAAAGTCTGAGAAACTCATAACCAAGAGGAGCCTAGGAAGATATGACTACTAAGGATACATGCAATATGGCATCCTCAATGGGATCCTGGAACATAAAAAAGAGCATTAAGGAAAATTTGGGGAAATTTGAATAAAGTACAAACTTCACTCAATAATAACGTATGGATATTGGTTTGTTAACTGTGACAAATGTACCATACTAATATAAGATATTAATACTAAGGAAAACTGAATATACAGAAACTATCTTCAGAATCGTTCTGTAAATCTCTAAACTGTTGTAAAATTAGCCAGGCTCGGTGGCTCAGCCTGTAATCCCGCGCCTTGGGAGGCTGAGGTGAGTGGATTGCCTGGACCTGCAGGTTCAAGACCCACTTGGGCAACTTGGTGAGACCTCATCTCTACAATAAAAAAATTAGCGCGCGCCTGTAATTCCAGCTACTTGGAAGGCTGAGACGGAAGGATCGCCGGAGCCCAGCAGGTCGAGGCTGCGGTGGCTGGGAGCGGCCACTGCACTCCAGTCTGGGTGACAGAGTGAGACTCAAACTCAAAAACAAAAAAACTGTTGTAAAATTGAATGATTGCTTTTTTTTAATCTCTCAACTAGATGCTGAAGACTTATAAGACACAGCTTTTTAAAAGCAAGCAAAATGGAACCTGAAAACTGGTAAGTCGGTTCAATTTTGCTATTGTTGTTTGCAGATCTGACCTAAAATCTTGCTCTTTCTTTTCTGTTTATATGAATTTAATTGTAGTCAGTTTTGAAGCTGAAATATATAGGACCCTATAGCTAGGTATCTATAATATCAAAAAATTGTTCTTAAAAATACACTAGCAATTAAACTTTGTTCTTTTTGTACATTAAAAACTCCTAGAAAGACCTAGTCAATCTGTTATAAAAAGTATGCAGTGAGTTCATAGCTAGTTTTCAGTCAAAGGAGACTGATAAGGTTGGAAAACTTTAATGACATATGGATTTCAGAGTGATTATATCTCCCTCCAACACTGTACAATGTCAATCATACTAACATATCATAATATATAGTATGCCAACAGTTTTCAAAGCTATGGGTAAAGTAACCTAAACATTTTATGATGTGTCCCAGCAAAGTACACAAATTTTCATAAGCACTTGACTAATTATGCAATAAGAAGGTACTACTTGGGTCTACTGCATACCTGCTAATATTTCCAGAAAAACTAGAAGAATAGCATTCTAATTGGTTACAGAAAATAATACTTTAAGTCTACCCATAATATAAGAAATCTAGCACTGGTCAAATTTATATTTTGTTTCAACTTTTCATCCTAACATGAAAAAAATCAAAAGCTCATTTCCATTATAGGCATCAAAACAGTAAAGGAAAGAGTTCTTTATCAAACTCATGCACAGGATATAGAAAGAGCTCTTTATCAAACTCATGCACAGGATATAGAAAGAGCCCAAGTTTCCATGTCTCGGTTCTCTAATTTAGAGAAGCCAAGGAAGAGCTATCAAGTAAAGCCTTGCCTAGATGTGGTGGTTCACACCTGTAATCCCAGCACTTTGGGAAGCTGAGGTAAGAGGACTGCTTAGGCCCAGGGGTTCGACACCACCCTGGGTAACTTGGCAAGATCTCATTTCTACAATAAAATAAAAGTAGCTGGCATGTGCCTATAGTTCCAGCTAACTGGAAGGTTGAGGCGGAAGGATCACCCGAGCCCAGCAAATCAACACTGCAGTGGCGATAAGCGTACTACTGCACTCCAGCCCTGCAGAGAGAGTGAGACCCCGACTCAAAATAAGTTTTTAAAAAAGTAAAGCCTTAAATCACCAACAGAAACATAGCCAATTTAACAGCTTAATATGATGATATATAACTGCACATGGTCACTGAAGATTAACTTGTCAAATTCAGCAGTTCAGCTAAGTTTCAAATGCTTAAAATTGAACTTCAGTTGGATTTTAAAGGAAACCTGTGTAAAGTGCTATTTGTCTGCAGCCCAAAATATGGTAATGGAAATATCAATTTTTCTTCCAATTCAATGTGTAAGGCTTAAGGCAGAGGAAAGCATTACCTCTGTTTAACTATGCCTATTACTACTCTGCCATCCAAGCTTAAAAAGTTTAGAAGAACAGAAGAGGCATTAGCTCAGTTCAGGTATTAGTTTTCTTTAAGTTGGTAAAAATTTTCCCAAGATACTTTCACATATAAGAATATTTTAGCAGTGACCACAGATCAACTTTTAATTCCTTACTTCAAGATACAAACTCCCATCCAGTTGTACATTTGATATCCAGGGCCCAAATACCCTGAAAATAAATTATAAATGCTTAATCAAATCAGCTCTGGGTCTCATGGTCTTTTGTAATTTAGAAAAGTAACTAAAGAAATGGGTATACAAGTCACAGAAAAATAAAGCTGAAAGAGAATATGAGAAAAGACAGAAAACTTTCTCCTCTATATATTAAAGTTCTACAAAGGGAAAAATCAGAAATCATACTAATCATTTAGAGAAATGCCCAAAAGAAAAATATACTGGGTGTTTTTTTTTGATCCTTTAAAAATGTCCACAATGGCAAAATGTCATTTCTGGGGGTTGAAGCATTAGATTTAGGTCCCTATGTTTATTTCTCAGCAGTCCCAAGATGTTGAAGTTCAGATTGATGGTGATTTGAACCAAAGTTAGAGCCAGGTCTCCAGGACTAAAGTCTAAGTGTTCGCTCCTATTCAGAATACTTTCATAATTTTGCCAGCATCTAACTCCCATGCTCAACCCATAAAAAATAAAGTGAGTCACTGCATCTAAGTAAATATAAGCTTCATCAAAATGCACTTGCAAAAAGCAAGATATACTGGTGTAGTGCCTGTGAGCTCTCAGCTTAGACATCCAGAGCTGACAAACTAAGGTCACATCTTACAACAAAGGTCACACCTCACATTTTCTGCTTGTCATTACTTTGCTCTCTATGCCCCACAGAACTTCCTAACATTTTAATGAAATCATCAAATTCTGCCCAATACTGAATGATTTGTTCATTTCTGCATCCTCCCTAAGAAAGTAAATTCCTTGACTAAAATGTTTTCAGTTTTGCTATTTATTACAGTACCTGCACAATAAATATTTGTAGCATTAACACAAGAATTATCTCAATTCTGAAGATGCCCCCATTTCCAGAGTATCCCCTTTAACAACTGCTAGAGATTTTTTTAAAGCAGAAATTATTTCAAGCAATGAACTGAAATACAACTTCAAGATTCACCTTTGGATGCTGTCTAGGAGACATCAAGCCACCTAAACTCGAGCCATCCCTCCTCTTGAGCTGGGGTGCAGAGCAGTTCTAAATTCATTCCTTTAAAACAAATTCCAGTAATAGTTATAGTTTCATGGGTAAAATGAATGACAAGTTAATTAGTACCAATAGAAGATTTCATAAGCATAGACCAGTGTTTCTCAAATTGGGGTGATAAGAACCCCGGGGGTTTGTGAATACATTTTCATGGATCCATATGTTCTACACATATTGTATAAAAGACATCTTTGACAAAGATAACTTGAAATTAGAAGACATTTACATTTCAAATAACTTTAAGTCAGTGTTCCTCAAAGCACATATCTCAGAAAATTTTATTCTTTTCATCCTGAAGCATTACTTAAGTTTGAGAAACAATGGCACAAACCACATTTCCAAGAAGGTCAAGGACCATTACTTATAAAACCCCCAGTCAGTCAGACAATATCATTAGGTACTTGGGGGAGGAAGAACTAGAGACAAGCTGTGAGAAGATATGGATATGAATTAAAATGGGCAAATAAGGATATGAATTAAAATGACCCAGCCCATTTATATGGTTTTGTTGCTCCTGCTAGGATGCAAAGATGTGCCCAAAGTTTCCAATGTTATGTTAAAGAATATTTTTTTAGCTGGACCTTTGTGTTTGTTTTATATCAAGGAGGCTAAGCTTCATTTAGCTTATCAAAGTACCCATTGAAAAAGGTGACGGGAAAGAGGGTATATAAACTACAGCATAAAATATGAAAAGAAGGTCAAGGTTTTCCAGTAAGACTTATACTTTTCCATGCCCTCTTGGCAAAAAGCTTTCAAACTAACAAAGTATCTCTAATGTGGATTATCCATGGTCATCTGTATTTAGGCAGAAATATAGTAAAATGGTGCAAAGAGTCAAAGTATCAAATTTATACCCCCAATCCCTGAACCTTAGAAAGCTCAAGCTTCTGATATCTGACAGTCACCAATTTGTCAGCACTGGCATAGAGCCAAACACAATAACTAGTTCCTATCTCTTTAATCTCTTTCTATGGCTCCAAAAGAGGTCGAAAGCAAATGACATTCAAATGAACCAACTAACTATTCAGATGGCTGTAATATTAGTCACATCTTGGCTCAGAGAAAAGTAAACCCACCTCCCTATGTTTATCCTATCAACTTCAAACCCTTCTAAGTTCCCTTTTTAAATTATTGCTTAAAATTCATTCAAGACATCGCTTGATTATTTCCTCAAGTTATTTCAAGTGTGCTTTCTTAGCTCCTCAACAATATCATCCCTACCCCTCACTTCAGTGTAAGCTAGCATAGGGCTAGGTATACAATACTAATTGTATAATTATGTTGGTTAATTCATATGTATTATAAATCATATGGTTAACTCATATATAAATTGCAGATGAGGTGACAAGAGGGAAAGAGACTTACTGGACCCTCTGACTTTTCTATGGGTGGCATCGAAGAGAAAGAAAATAGAATAGGGAAAAAATTTATTAACAGCTACAAAGTAGTACTTACAGTATTCTAAAGAGCCAGAGACTCTTCTTACAGCTGTCCAAGGAGCTAGTAGTGCAAACTGCACCCTGAGCTGGGCTGATCTTTTCACATCCTTCTCAAAGAAACAGTATCCTTTTCCAGTGATTACAAAGAACTGCTGTTGTGATGACTAGTTATATGCTTCAGCAGTTCCATATTAAATATATTTTTCATCACAAAACACCCTATACACTAGGCAGCTATCTCACTGTTGAAATTGATATCCAAAAGAATGATTAGTCTTGGCTTATTTTTCTTATAAAGTGGGGAACCCAGTCCCATCATTTGTAAGTCCTCACTTCAGTGTAGTGCGCTGAACGTCAAATTATTAGAACTAAATGCCTTTTTTATAAAAGATTAATCAAATAAGGTGACCTATGCTTTTTAAAAGCAGCTCTGCATATGTTCCCTCAATTAATCCTTTTACAGCAATCTTCGTGAAATAAGGGCTAGTGCTCCAGACAAAAAAATTTAAGAATTAGAAAGTTTAGGTAGTTTCTTAAAAAGTGAATGGTGGTACAGCCCAAACAAGAATTGGTTTTAAAATGGTGGTTCAGCCTGAACAAAGATACTAGTCTTAATAGAACTCCTTTGGTAATACCAAAATAACAAGAGTCACAGTGGTCCATCCACAGACCCGAGACCCTCAGTAAAATGAGAGACATTGGTAATCAGGTACATAGTATAAATTGATTTTTTGAGCTTTAAAAAATTAATGACCAGCTTATCAATTCTTGTCTTTCTTAAAAAATAAAAAACAGAAACTTATCTGGTTGTATGCTGACAATTGGCCCTGTACAGTAGCAATACATAAAGAGGACAATGAAAAATTCTTAACCAGGCAATCTGCTCTGGAAGGAAGAATGCAGAGAAAGTACTAACGTTCCTTCCTGGGAAAATGATTTGACATAGTATATTGAAAAGACAAAGGGAGGCAATCTGACTTGCCTTGAGTATTTCGCACAGTAAAACAGTAACAAAGATAGGCAGGAATGATTCATATCCCCAGAATCTGAAAATAATTGAAACTGGATAATTAACACATGAAGAAAAAAGAGTGAAGTCTCATCCATCTAGTTCCAGCCTGCTTTTGATAGTCAATGCTGCACAAACGTACCAAAGTGATAGGGAGATCTTGGACTAATGGGCTGAAAAATGGAATGGAACAATTAGTACTGTGTTCATTAATAACACAGAAGGAGCTTTGGGTAGTCGGCACTACTCAGAAGCAATGCAAAGGAAGTAGAGGGATCCATGTATAATGGATGGGACCAAGAAAAGTACAACTGAGACATTACAGCACTATAAAGTAAGTAAACCAGTATCATCTGGGATGGTTAACTTTTTAAGTTCAAGAGAAAGGGGCTTGCCCAATCAACATTAGCCAGCAAAGAGGCAAAAGAGGGCTGTCCAATGTAAAGGGTGGGGAGAAACAGAACACAATCTTATCTAGTGACTGGATACATGGACACCTGAGATTGTGAGCATTAACAGTTCCTAAAAACGGGCCAAGGGCAGACAAGGCCTCTATTATGGTCAGAGGGCAGGCCTTGTGAAAAGGGTGAGACCATGGCTCCTTGAGGTTTTATACACTGGAGCAATGCAAAAGTAGGAGTATGGGTCACTGCATAATGGGCATGTGCATGGCATACTGCAGTGTTTGTACCTTATTCTGCCATGAGAAACTGGGTGTGGGGAATGCTTGCTTAATAAAGCCAGGAAGGAAAACCAAAAAAAAGCATTGGTCATTGCCATTGTGCCTATGAACAGTCCCAGGGGAAGTTTTAGGGAAGGCAAAAAAAACCCACTGATAATGGCCATTGTGCCCATTAACAGTCCCAGGAGAAGTTCAGTACTATGAACTTGGGTAGTCAGCAGCCCCTGCAGTACTGCAAATGGGGTGTGAGGCCACAATATTTCAGTCCAATAGATGGTGGCATGTATAATTGCAAATATTCAGTGACAATTCAAGGGGACTTAGTTGTTCCATACCTGTAACATATGCAAAGAGTATGCAGGGATCCTGTTCAATGATCAGTACCCTCAATAATTATTATTGCTGCATGTTAATTGCCCAGAAGCTGAGGTTATGAGAAGTTAGCACTCCTTAGCAGCAATCAGAAAGGTAGTGGTAGGAACATAGGGTCCTCTTCTACTACACAAGGTGAAATGGGAGCACATGGATACCAGAAATTGTGAGCATTAATAATCCATAAGAAGGGGCCAAGGGCAGACAAGGGGGAGGAAGAGGGCAGACCTTGTGTAAAGGGTGAGACCATGGTTGCTTAAGACTTTATACAAATACAATTATGCACATTAATTTTCAAAAGGAAAGGGCTCCTTCATTGTTAACAGGCCCTTTACGCAGAGGGAGTATGAAGATATAAAGTCCTAGTCTAAAAGAAGAGATGGGACAATTGCATTAATGCACACTAAAGTCCAAAAGAAGGGGCACTAGATGAATAGCATCTCCCTGCTCTAAAGCAAAGAGAATATAGGTGTTTCAGTATAAAACATGCTTAGAAAATTGTTTATGTGAACTTCCCAAGCAAAAGAGTCTTAGGTAGTGGGCACTACCCTGTAAAATTGCTAAGGAAGTAGGTAGGATCCTTACGTTATGCACAGAACAGGAGCAAATGCAAGTGCACATATTAATAATCCAAAAGAACAGAGCCTTGGTTGAACAGCACACCCTTCTGTACTGTAAAGGAAAGATGCCCTTCGTCTAATGACAAAGACAAAAGAAAATTTCAATTATATACATTAATGGTCCACTAGAAGGGACCTAGAGGAAAATAGTATCCCCTGCAGTAATGCAAATAAGGTGTAATGGTTCTGGAAGTGATACGGTTGTGGACAACTGCAATTATGTATATTGACTGTCCAAATGTAAAGATCCTAAGCAGTGAGTGCCACCTACTGAAAAACATTATGAAGTCAGAGGTGGGGCATCCTTGCCTAATGCCCAAGAACCCAGAATTAACAAGCCAAAAACAGGGAACTTAGGAGTAAGTAGCCCTGGTATACTGCAAATGGAGAGTGGGAGGGTAGGACACTGATTAAATGAACCATGTAGGATATAAACATTAATGTCCAGAGAAAATTGTTGTGGTCAATTAAAACCACATGCTTTATACAAATATAAAAATCTTAAAGTAGTGCATACTCCCTACTGAACAGCAAAGGGTATGTAGTAAAACATAGTTATCTAGTACACAGAAACATACACAAGCCAAGAAATGGGTCCTGGGGATAAGTACCCCTGCTGTACTGCAAAAGAGGTCTGAGAGTTGGATCTTACCATATGAAATGAGCTACCTGAAATTATGCACATTAATGTCCAAGATGCATGACTGTGGTCATTTACAACTGTGCACCTTGACTGTCCAAATAAAAGGGTCTTATGAAGTAGGAACTCCCTGACAGACGGGAAAAGGAAAGGTAGGAGTAGAGGGGAGAATCTTTCTTCTCTAGTAAATAGGTACCCAGACAAATGTCATCATGCAAATTGCAGGACAGGAAAAAGGTCCTTGATGACCAGTACCCCTGCTAAAGGAGTTAAAAATGAGTCTGAGGGTAGGATCTTAACAAATGGGATGAGCCATGTAGAGTTATGCACATTAATGTCCAAGGTTCATGGCTGTGGTCACTAACAGTCATGCACCTTAACTGTCCAAATGTAAGGGCTTTTGGAATGCACCCTCCCTGCTGGAAGATAAAGGAAGACTGGAGGGGTGGGGAGGAGAACTTCCCTGTATAGTATACAGGAACCTGGATAAATATAATCTGATACGTTACAGGCCCTTGGTGATCAGTATGCCTGCTGTACAGCAAAAGGGGTCTGAGAGTAGGATCTTATTCAAATGGGATGACCCATGTGCACTTAAACAAAAAATGTCCAAGCTACATGATTGTGGTCACTTGCAATTGTGTACCTTATGGAGTGGGTACTACCTTCTGGAAGAGAAAGGAAGATTGAGGGATGTGGGGCAGAGAACTTCCCTGTCTACTACACAGGCACCTGGACAAATATAGTCACATATCAGGCCAAGAAAAGGGGCTTAGTAATCAGCAACCCTGCTGTACTGCAAAAGGGGTCTCAGAGTAGGATCTTATCAAGTGGAATGACCACTTGCAATTAGCACATTAATGTCCAAGGCACATGGTTGTGGTCACTTAAAATTGTGCACCTTGACTGTCCAAATATAACGGTCTTATGGAGTGGGCACTCCTTGCTGGAATGGATAAGGGAAGGTAGGGGTTGAGGGAAGAACCTTCCTTCTCTAGTGAATAGATATCCAGACAAATATAATCACACAAATTACAGGACAAGAAAAGGGTCCCTGGTGATCAGTATCACTGCTATACTGTAAAAGGAGTCTGAGAGTGGGATCTTAACAAATAGTATGAGCCATGTGCAATTATGCACATTAATGTACAAGGTGCATGACTGTGGTCACTTACAATTGTACACCTTGACTATTCAAATGTAAGGGTCTTATAGAGTGGGCTCTCCCAGCGGGAAGGGAAACAAAGATTGAGGGGAGTGGGGTGGAGGACTTTCTTGTCTAGTATACAGGAACCTGGACAAATATATTCAAATACATTACAGACCAAGAAAAAGGTTCCTGGTGACCAGTAACCCTGCTGCACTGCAAAGGGGTTTGAGAGTAGGATCTTATTCAAATGGGGAAAGAAAGATTGAGGGGAGTGGGGTGGAGGACATTCTTGTAGTATATAAGAACCTGCACAAATACAGTCAGATACATTATATGCCAAGAAAATGGTCCTTGGTGTTCAGTACTCCTGCTGTACTGCAAAAGGGGTCTGAGATTAGCATCTTATCAAATGGAAAGATCGTGTGCAATTATGCACATTAATGTCCATGGTTGTGGTCTCTTACGATTGTGCACCTTGACTGTACAAATACAAGAGACTTATGAAGTGGGCACTCTTGGCTAGAAGGGAAAAGAGAAGGTAAGGGTAGAGGGAAGAATCTTCCTTCTCTAGTGAATAGGTGCCCAGACAAACATAATCACACAAATTTTAGGAGAAGAAAAGATTCCTTGGTGATCGGTACCCCTGCTGTTCTGCAAAAGGGGTCTGGTCCTAGAATGTGATCTTAAATAACAGGATGAGCCATGTGCAATTATGCACATTAATGTCTAAGGTGCATGGTCGTGGTCACTT